CCCTCTTCAAGGTTGAGGGCTGGTAAATGTCTCCCTTGTGGACTGGTGGAAATCTTGCAGGACTGTGTAAAAGGAGCCCTTTCCTGAAGGCTCACTAGGTCAATCTCACTCCAAGTACTTTGTGCATTCATGACAAGACATCTCCTTTGCCCAATGCTCAGCAACATTTTCTCATAATGAGATGTTCCTGGCATCTACTCTGCAGCCCCTTTTTTCTTTCTTTCTTTTTTACATTATTACTTTCTTTTTTCCTTTTTTTTTTCTTTTTTTTCTTTTTTTCCTTGTATCTTTCATTCTCTCCTTCCTTTCCTTTCTTTTCGTGATGACATGATCCCTGCACCATCTCCTCTACCAATTTTTTTACATTACGATAATTCTATGTCACTTGGATCCAATGGGTTGATATAATGATAATTCTTAAAATAGCAGTAAATGCTGATGCCTTCACTAATTTTAATGATCATCTTAGCCACAAATTCAAGCTACATTTCTTTTTGACCAACCACTACACTAGGATGAAGTTTATACATGTTTATATAAAAATTATATGATTAATCCAGGGGATTTTTCATGCATGTTGAGGAGGATTCTGGGTCATTGTAAACATTTTAAATACTGATAGGAAAAAAAAAGCTTAAGTAGCTTTTTTTCAACTGGGCTAAAATTTTCAAGGTAATACTCCTCATCCTCTTTCTCCTTCTTCTCTTTGTTTCCCTCTTTTCCTTTTCCTTTCCTTGCTTCTCCATCTTCTCTTCCTCCTCCTCCTCATTCTCCTCATTCTCCCTTCTCCTCTCTCTTTCTTTTTCTCCTCCCTCCTCCTCATTCTCTTCCTCCTCCTTCATCTCCTCTTTCACTTCCTTCTCTTTCTCCTCTTTTGACTTCTTCTTCTTATTATTACCCTCCTCCTCTTCCTCTTCCTCCCCCTCCCCCCTCCCCTTCCTGCTGCTCCTCCTTCCCCTCTTTCTTCTCCCTCTCACTCTCTTGCTCTTTCTCCTCTTTCTTCTCTTCCTCTTCCTCTTTTTCCTACTCCTCCTCCATCCCCTCCTCCTTTTCTTCATCCCCCTCCTCCTCCTCCTCTCCCCCCTCCTCCTCCTCCTCCTCCTCCTCCTCCTCTTCCCCCTCCTCCTCCTCCTCCTCCTCTTCCCCCTCCTCCTCCTCCTCCTCTTCTCCCTCCTCCTCCTTCCTTGCCTTCTTCACCCCCTTCTCTCTTTATGAATAAATACATTCACTCAGCCACATAAAGTTTTTATCCCCCTTTTTCCAGAGAGGTTGTAGAGTCCCATTTCCTTTCATCCTTAAAAGAAGCTGATGGTCTGAAGCACAGAGGGCAGATCATTACCAATATGCAAAGCAAGGATCACAAGCAACTATGGATGGGGCTTTGTAATGGTAAGCAGTAGTTTGGAAGAAGACAAATCGTTTTTTTTCCGGATAGGATTTCCTACTTTTTCTGATGGGTTATGTTTTGTTTTATCATTGCCCTCTTCAGCTTCTAATTGTTATGTATTTGAGTGTTTATCTGTATGTAGTTCTCTTTTTCTAGTATTTTGATAATCAGAAGTTTTACCAAGTAGTCCTAATATTTTGAAGATTCTAAAATCAGTAAAATGTAACTCCGCATGTGTACCTTTCAGATAAGTTTGATCAATTTTGGGCCATTAATCGGAAGCTTATGGATAGTTCCTCAGAGGAAGGCTTTAAACACATTCCCTTCCGTCTGCACTTACCCTGCCAGCCCCCAATTCAGAGGCTTATCAGACCTCTCGCAGATGACGGAAGGAAGATTACATTGGGTGACCTCCTGCAAGAGTTTTTACCTGATTCCAATAATGAAGGTGAGAGCAGGAGTTATATAAGATCCATAATTTTTTTCATTTTGTTATCTTCATTTCTTCAGTTTTATATCCTCACTCTTGATTTTTTTTTTTTTTTTTTTTTTTTGTATAAATAAGCTGTAATTATAAGCTGTAATTGTAATTAAAATTATAGAGCACAAAACATATTACCCAATATTTTCTGGGTTTCTGTAATTTAGATAATGCTGCCCTCATTATTTAATGTGACATATGTATTCAGAAATGAGTTTCATACCTGTTCACCATATTAATTCTTTAACATACTTTGTTATATCTCAAAGATATTTATGTATGAAGTATATATCAACATCTTTCCTCATAAGCAACTACTGTTTTCTTAAATTTAATTTTTCCCATATACATAATTTTCAGTTAACCAAGGAGTTGGTTAGAAATGACATTGATTAAATGCTGACAGGTGCTTGTTACTTTTATTTGTATATTAAGCATGTTATCCTTTTCTAGGAGACCGCGTAGTGATCCAGGGGATCGAGGCGCCACGAGAGACTCCATTACAGTGGCTTAGTGAACATCTCAGTCACCCAGATAATTTTCTTCATATTTGTTATGTCCCTACTCAGATGTCATGACCAGTGCACTTCAGTCACATAGCTTCAGGATGTACACTTTTTAGCCTATTTGCTCCATTAACAGTATGTTGAGGGATTACGAGTGAATGTTACAAGGTTTCTTTGTGTAATGCATAAGAAAAACCTGCTGTGTATGATCTTGCAGAATATGTTTTGTGAGCTATGTCTTTATTAAAGTTGCCATCCATAAAGCAATTCAAATGGCTGGAATGGTATTGCATCTGTTATTCAGTTACCATTCTAGCTTGTAGAAATTGTCTGTAACATGACTTTCCCTCAACAATTTGTGTATACTCAGCATATTTCATTGCAGGTGAATGTTTTACCATGCATTTCATGCTTAGTTTGTAAAAGCATATGTAAGATTGTATGTGTGTGTTTTTGTTTTTTTTTTTTTTTTTTTTTTTTGTATAAGTGTTTTTTGCTTGCATTGTTGAATATCTGTGTTAGAGAAAGAAAGATAAAAAGCTATATAAGTGAATGAAAGCATAAGTCATCTGTGTGTTTGCACTGTAAGTAGTGCAAGTTAATTCTTTTCTCTTTTTATTTATAACTTTTCTTGTTATAAAATCAATCTGAAATGTGCTAAGCATTCTCAGGAAATGCTTGTGTTCACATCATTATTTTCTCTTATTGAAATACTGACACTTCTCTGCTTATTTACATTCATTATGTTTTATGTATAATAATTTCTGAAGTGTTATTTGTTTTTTTGTAAAACATTTCCAGTAGAATCTACATAGAATATTTATCCATTGCCCATCAAATTATCATAGAATTTTCCTATTGTACCAACTTTAAAATTTTCCCAATTTCCAATTGAATGAAATGTTTTAGAGAAAAGACATATGCAACTACATTGAATAATAGTATTTTATGTTCATCAAGAAGATTGGCATTTTTGCCATACGAGGTTAGCGTAAAAGTATGATATAATAATACTGATTGGGCATAAAAAAGTCATTTTGAAAGTCACATAAAATCAGATTTTTAAATTTTGATTCTATATTTTGTTTATTTAAAGTATTGACCCCATATTTGTGTATCTGAATTTCAAATTTCATTTTGTATTATAGATTTAGTGTCCAACTACAAAAATCTGTGTTATAAATAACATGACAGATGGCTGATTTTTAAAGTTTTTATCTTGTTTAATTGTAAAAGAATTCGGAAAATGTCCTATTGAACACCAGCATGGGTTTCCCTTCTGCTCTTCTCTTTACAACAGGAACAAGTCATTATTAAGATGTGATATATTTATGTACAGAATATGATTAATATTATATCCAAGACCAAGGCTGTGTTTGATCTCCTTCAGTATATTGCATGATTCAGGCCATGTGGAACCTACCTGTAATCTGTAGGTTCTATGCACTTATAATCTACTAAACTAGAAGTCACTAGTATATAACCTGAAAATTATATATTTGTTAGTTGCATGATTATAGCTGAGTGATACTGTTGTATTAAGTACATTTACAGTTTGTATTTATACGTAGGTTATGATTTGATATTTTCCAAAGAAATGTGTTGTAAGTTGAGTGCATTGGTAGTTGTTAATTACCTTTTGAAACATGATATAAACCCGTTGCTGATATACAGATAGACAGCTGTGAGAAAACTTAAGCAGGTAATAAACCAGAATTTCATAATTTGTTTGTAAGTATTTTATAATCCAAAAGACTATCATCATAGAGCATTTGCCAAGAATTTTTCATGTGACAAAAGATCATCAGTTTTCAGTATAATGATTTTATATATAAGCAATAAAAAGATGCTTTACCCTTACAAAAGTTTCTAAAATATGTATCCATATCCCATATGTATAGGTATGGTAAATGTCTTCAAGCCTTCCCCTTAGTTACAACACAAAACTATTTAAATTTTAGGTTGAATGTAATGTCTATAATTCATATTTCTATAGATGTCCAATATGATGTTTCAATAGAATCAAAGGAAAGAATAAGATGTGTTATTATGAGCAGAAGCCAAGCATGGTGCAATGAATAAGATAATTTTACTTGAAGTAATTTAATACTGTTTGAACTAAAGAGGGAATGTGTACCATGTTGAAAATAAACACAAGTTTTCACAATTTTTTTATTTTTGTCTTGTATCTTTCTTTTAACTTTTGTGTATTAACTTTTTTAAACAGAATTCAATGATGGAAACAGAAATTGTTCATTAACATTGCTCACTTATAATAGTTTTATAACACTACCCAGTATATACATCAGGGGGAATATTGTATAACGAATATGTACAAAAATCAGTTCACGCTCCCTAAAAACGATCACACTTTTTACAGTATATTGTTTCAAGTGCACATTACATATTATTTTAGTATAGAGGGAATTGTTTTTTTACCACTTACAATGGCATCCCAAAGAGTACCCTTTCGTTCCCGAGGTTCATTATCACAACGTGTGGAAAATTCTATATCTGGAATCTGAACTACAATCGAGAACAGAATTATAAAAAGTTCATATGACTGTAAGTTCCCTATGTTATTACAAATGTGTGTTGTATTGGAATAGTTTTCCTGATATATAGATTTTTATATAGATTTTTTTTTTTTTCTGAAAATCTCAAGACTGAATTACTGAATGAAAGGCCATATTCAAGATTTTAATATACATGTTTCTCTACAATTCTAATTACTCTACATTACAATACACAAAATTATATCATTGAAGTTTTATTGATTTTTATTTGTATTTTGTGATTTTGTGAGTAAAACCTTACTGTGCAACAATCTTAGAGCTTTTGATATTAAATCTATTAACTCAACTGGGTTTATTATAAGTCTCCAAACAGAAAGCAGATCTTATTATCAAAACTCACTTTTATATTGTTATAAACACTCATCAGCTCATGAAAAGCTAAGCAAATAAACACAATACAGATAACCAGAAAAAGCATATTGCAGAGCTGAGAAAAGAATTATCACAGCCATTTTCCTTGCACATTAAACATTTTCTATTTCTCTATACACAGTATATAAATTGGTTATGTCCAGAGTGAACATCCTAAAATGTGATGTGTTAACAGTGGATGTTGATGTGGTGTTTCTTGTATTTTCGTTTATCTAGTTACCTATTTTATTATCTAATGACACAGTAGTTACTGTTTGTTGGATCTGCAGGGTGGAAATGTTGATCTAAGATTTGCCATTTTATCACCTAGAGACATTAATATTTTTGAATTAGATAAACGGACTAGATCAGTATATGATCTTGCATTGGTTCTTATGTGTCAAGGACTTCAGGAACGAATTTAGCTAAGGTAGTCATGTGATAATAATTCCTATATCTATATATCTGTAGTTACTCATCTTTATGCATTTCCTATCAATAAATAAATGATATACATATACATGTGTATTTGTGTGTGTGTGTGTGTATTATGAGTGTATTTCGCTCTATATGAGATACTCATGTGCTCATTTATTTATAAATCATGTTCATATACATATATTGCGTATAACAAGACGGGATAAGAAATCTATTTGACATTTGTGTTTCAGGT